TGTGTCGGAACGTGACACTCCGATCCACTAATACTATGTGTCGGAACGTGACACTCCGATCCTCTAATATCATTCTGTAAATCATCAAGCCTTCCCTATTCCAAGGCATCATCAATCCCATTACTTTAATTCATCAAGCCTTCTTCTATACCAAGGCATCATCATTAATAATGTATATTAGAGTTTCTTTTCAAGATTTGGGATTCAATATTTTCATCATGTTTATCTTATCACAATCACATAATCATATTCATGCAAACATACCATTAAGCATATAGTAGGGTTTACAATACTACCAATACATATCATTCTCTATTAAGAGTTTACTATGAAAGCATGAAAATCATAACCTACCTCCACCGAAGAATTGAAATCAAGCAAGTTAATCCTCAAAGCTTGGTGTTTTCCTCTTCTTCTCGATCGTTTCTCTCTCTCTCTCAACTTTCTCTCTCTTTCTCTCTCTTTCTCTTGTTCTTTCTATTTTCTTTATTCAAACCCTCTTTCTTTTACCCTAATTAGTATATAATTAAGAATAAAAGATGGCAATAATACCCCACTAATTAACTTAGGGTTACCTCTTTTAACCCCCAAGAATTTAAGTTATTAATATAAACCCACGAACTTTATAATTAAGGCAAGAATAGTCAAAAACGTCCCTTAAAACATGTAAGGAAATCCGATTCTGCCTGGGATTTGCGCAACCTGTGACGGGCCGTCGCGCCTGCGACGGTCCGTCCTGCAGGCCGTCGCAAGGGTCAGAGACTCAGTTTCCACTGAACAATCTATGACGGTCCGTCACGCCTGTGACGGTCCGTCCTGCCATTCCGTCACGAAGTTCAGAGAGTCGATTTTCAGTACCCAAATTCAGAATTTCCAAGTGTTTTGAAACGAGACCCTGCGACGGTCCGTCGTGCCCATGACGTTCCGTCGTGGGGTCCGTCGCTTCTGCCAGTTTTTCCAGAATTGAACTCTGTTGCTCAAAACGACTAAACAGGTCGTTACATTTACGAATAGTTTGTTATTCTAATTTCATATGTTAAACAAATTTAAGATAATCATACAAAGTATACTTTTATTCTGTGATTCGATAAATAGAATGACTTTCTAAATGAAATATCAATAGTTGAGTGATTTTTCAAATGAAATATCAATAATTGAATGACTTTTAAATTATAAAAAAAATAAAATGACTTTCTAATTTAGTAAACAACAAAAGAAATAACAAAAAAGAAGAAAATACTAATAAAAATGAGTAAAAGTCCAAAGATTGAAAATAACAGAGAATACTTTGCTGTTTTTTATCCTTTAATTAAAAATTAAGAGTAAAGGGAAAAACTGAAAGAAGTATTGATAAATTAAAAAGAAGCTCACAAGGAAACGAAATTGTAACATAGAGTTTAGATTTAAGTTACTTTATTATAAATAATATAAAATGTGCATTAAATAGGAAAAATCTCATGATGCATTAAACAAGAAAAAATTATTATTTTTATGATGTGTTTGAAATCTATAGCTAATTCAGTATTATTTATAAGATTAATGTTTCTTTTGTTGTTAATGCTGCATTTATATTAATATTCTCAAGTAATAACATTAAAGTTGACCATTCAAAAAAACAATATTTTATATATCAATTTTTTGTTTTTCTAAAAAGATTTTTTTTTTTAAAAAAAGGGATCATTTTTTAAATGTAAAGTATCACCTTTTATTATTTAAATTAATTATCTTTGATAAAGATAATAACTGATTAGCACTTATTAAGGAAGTTTTAAAAAAATCAGATTAATTAGTTATCTTAAAAATCTCAATTTAGTTAAAATCAAATTTAGTTGTGATTTGATTTC